AGCGCGGCCAGGGTGCGAAGCTCAGCCTTATCTGCCAAGGCGGAAAGCTGCTGCTTATGCAGAGAGAGCCTGGCGACTCGTTCTTGCCGCCTACTATACTCAAGCGCTTCACCAGCTGAGTGATCCAGGTCAGTGTGCCTTGTGATCTCTCGCAAAAATGAGACAATGACGCTCCCGAACGTAGAATCAAATCTACATATAAATAACACGCCTGGAGTGCTGTGTTCAAGACATCTGCTGCAGTTGTACATTTTATCTGATTTATTCGCGTTATCTGGTCATCTGCTATTGCGGTGCACTGGTACATGCTCGAAAACTTGATAGTAGCTCTCACCGGCCAATTACGCGCTCTCTCAGGCGCGCCGCTGGTTAGTTCTAACGTCCACCGTTTCTGCCGAGTGCAGGCTAAGCTTGTGATTGGCTCGAGCTTGCCGTCTGTCGAGCCTACAAGATGATAATCCCAGCCAGCCGCAATCTTTTCAAAATCGTTCTACGGTACGAAGTTAACGCGTATCAAGTCCCTGAGCAGCCCTCGGCGGACTCTCTTACTGACCAACTATCATCCCTGAACGTGGGCTCCTTCACAAGCGGCACGACCCCGAAAGAGTCCTCGGTTGCCGATGTTCGGCGCGTAGGCTCCGTAGTTCCACAATCCCCGCTCGCCAAGGCCAAGTCCCGCACGCAACACGGTGGCCGCAGCAAATTCTATGACAACGAAGCCTATCTCCAGCTGTACCTCGGCCAAATTCCCGCGCTCTGCTTCGGGATGCACGACGGCGACGGCTTCTTCACTCCTATCGACGAGATTTGGCTCGATTTGGAGCGTTGCAGCGCGGCCAAAGAGAGGGTGCAGCCGGCCCTGTGCAAGCTGCGCCGCCTCCTGGAGCAGGTCCAAAACTCCGCAATGGAGAGCGGGCAGGGAGTGAAACTCAGCCTTGTCTTCCAAGATGGGGAGCTGCTGCTTATGCAGCGAGCAACTTACGACTCGTTCTTGCCGCCTGCTATGCTCAAGCGCTTCATGGCTGAGTGATTTAGGCAATATATCTTGAGATATCCCGTAAAAACGATTTAATGACGAATTCGAGCACGAGATTATCAGCATTTAGGCAACACGCCTGTGTTTCTATGTACAAGAGATCTGCTGCAGATGCATATTTTTGGCCGAATTTCTGATGTGCTTTCACGACCGTGCCGGGTGTCATTGAATTTACGCTGTGCTAGTGCTTATCTGGCTGTCTGATACAGCACCGGAGTTACCGTACCAAAACACGCGCCCCCCAGAGTGCGGTTCTGGCTAGTCCTCTGTAGCTATTTAACGTCTTGCCCAGTGCTTATCTGAGCCCACAGATCAGTGGCCCGCTGCAGCTCGCAGTGGCCTGCTGCGAACGATCGGTGCGGATGCTATGTCGGCATATCCCGAGAGGCTGATGGCCGGCGAGCGCCGTGTTCTGCGGCCTTGAAGCGCCAATGGCACTCATCGCCCTTTCTTTTGGTGAGTTCGGATGTGAGGTTATTCCCCTGCCTTTGGCTAGCTTCGTAAACTCCCGGCTGAATGCAAGACAACGGGCTCACTGTTCCAGGGCCTGGGTGAACGTATCCTCGGATATTGTTCATTCCAGATCGCTCCCGATTTGTCGTCCACTTTGTTCAGCATCTCTTGTCAAGCACGGAGCCGCCCCTCCTCGGCACCTGTGATTAAGGTACCAAAGACCCGGTGAGCGATGCAGTGGAACGTCTCAGAATCGCGAGTGCATTTTGAAACAGCGCGAGCCAGGTCAGCTTTGTCTATCATTGTCAGGTGTACACGGTTGTGTAATCTTCCTCGATCGAGCCATCGAACGCATGGGCCACCGGGAGCATTGCAGGACGGTATATATATAAGAAGACACCGACTCTTGGTAGGAGCACCAACTCGCCGTCATACACCAACACACTACCTTCTGTATCACAAGCATTATCGCCATGTCTACCGACAAGTGGGTGTCCCGTCTTCCTCGAACATTGTGGCGCACTCACACCCTCGTTTGACAGGATCGTCCAAGTGCCCCAAGAATTTTTACGTGTCCAGGCTCCAATTCTTTTGGAGATAGATGGTGCGTTTGACCTGCCCACTCGCTACATACTGCTCAGTCAGTTCATCCTGGGCATCTGTAGTCAAATTCGCCAAACCGTTCTCCTCCGAAATGAACCTCGCTCTTCGCATTTATTACGGCCGGATGGTCTTGTGCTCGTACGGCCCAACCAAGTCGGCTAACCCACTGTGGAATCATACCTTGTAAGATTTATACGTCCGTCTGTTCTCGTCGGCGACACATTCCTGAACTCCGTCCCCATCCCAGAGAGTTCGATACGCACACACCGCGGCTATACGATATCGAGATCTCCAAGCATGCTAACCTTCCGGTGCCCAATCCAATTTCCCCTACCGGAGCAGTCACACACGTTCAGCTGAGTCTGCCCAAGCTTTTGTCTGGTACATCTATGGTCCTTCACGCCACAAGTTGTCTCACCACTGACATATATGACAGAGGGCGCCGTCGAGTTCAATGTCTCCGATGGCCCTGACGCTGGCATGGTTCTACCCAATTTGCAAGTCACCTACGCAGTTTTAAAGTCAGGATCGGTCCCTCGCGTCCTCCCACCGGTTCCAGAGGTGCTCGAGGACAAATTTCCGACATTGACCAACCTTCGCCGTGCCATCAACGCTCTATCCACTCTACGTACGGGAAGGATTGAGCTGATCCGCACCATCCCGGTCAGTGTGGCCCAACGTTCCTCTCTCCCCCCCTCTCACATTGAAACGTCGTCCGTGACAGGAAACCCTCTGGGTCTTCTTAGTGTCCTTGTGGAACAATCTGCGAGTTCAGCTGCCTCGCCTCGTCGATGCGAACCGCAAGAACGAGCGGGAGACCAGGATCAATCCGCTGCTGCTGCAGGACAACGCACCCGAAGATCTCCTTGTTCACGTGCGTGATACTCTGGAGTATCTCTGCTCGATCAGCGCAAAACTTCCATCCACCGAGAGCACGAAAAGCACGGTGGCACGCTTGACAGGCAACCTCTTGCGCAGCGTCCTCAAGGCGACCGCTCTGATCTGGAGCTGGGCCCATTCGTACATCAGTGAGCTGCCCTCTGCTTATGCAGACTTTCGTAGCTGACACATCTTTGCAGCGGCTTCGTATGCGTCGGTGACCCGGGCGATGATCGGCCAACCGGAGACCTTCGAGTCCGTGCAGACCGAGCTCTTCCAGTACAGGATCTGCCTCATTAGATCCATCGAGGCCAACGACGAGGAACCACTCATGCTCGGTCCTGACGCGTTGGAGTTCGTCTTTGGTAAGGCGTACGCAGAGGCCTTGCAGGGCAACGCATTGACCCACCGGCCGTACGTGTCTCTGATGTCCGCGCTCCGCGGTAACCTTGCGCAGGATGCGTACACGCGCGCACTCGAGGTACGACACGTGTTATGCCTCACTGACATGCCTTTGACTGACTTGGACGCAGGAACTGAACAAGCACACCGACGAAGGCGAGGTGCAGCAACGCGACGCGCTGCGCCGACTCATCATCCACATTGCCCAGGGCTCCGGGGCGTTCCCGGCCATCTTGGACATCCCCTTCGATGAGTGCACGAAGGACCTCGAGAACGCGCGCACGCCGCCGGCGCCAGTGGGCGATGGCAGCTACGGAGAGATCTACCGGGGGACCTATCACAAGCATGGACAGACGAAACAGACGGTGGCCATCAAGATTCTCAGAGGTACAGGCGACGTCAGCCTCCTCAGACAAGTGCGTGGCTGCGGTTCTCTGCTGCTTCGCGCCCGGACAGCTGACGTTTCGGGCTCCCAGCGCATGTTCCTCGAGCTGAGCTGCTGGCTGCTCGGCCACGAGCGTATCATACGTCTCTACGGCGTCACGAACAAGTACGAGGCCCCGGGCTTGGTCTTCGACTGGGCAGAGAACGGGAACGGCATGAATTATATCCGGGAACTGCTCGAGAACCCTCGAAAGGTTCAAGTTCCTATCGTGTCTCTCAGTAACCAATGGGTGAGCTCTGCGCGTGCAGCCACAGGGCGCCAGCATATTGACAGCTCTCGACAGATTCGCGACATCGCCGACGGCCTCAAGTTCATTCACAACGAAGGCATTATCCATGGCGACATCAAAGCGGTATGCCGCGCCCATTCCCTCGCGTTATCATACTTTTGCTAAGCATTCAAAAGGCAAACATCCTCATCCACGCGGACAACCGTGCGGTGCTCGCCGACTTTGGGCTCTCCCTCTTCGCGCGCGGCCATCCAGGCAACTATGACTCAGCGCGCCTGGGCAGCCTGCGGTGGTGCGCGCCGGAGCTGCAGAACGAAGGCCAGACGCGCACGACGTTCGAGAGCGACATGTTCGCGTTCGGGATGCTCTGCCTCGAGGTGCGCCCGCCCCCTGTTCTCCCACGCTGCACTGACTAACCGCCGACGTGCCCAGCTGTACACCGGCAAGATACCGTACTTCGAGCTCGCGAACGACCCGCAGGTTGTGGCGCTCATCACGCAGGGCATCCCGCCCGTCAACGTCCCGCCCTCGCGTCCCGCGGACCCCGCCCGCACGCCGATGGCGCAGGGCCTGTGGCAGCTCATGTGTGAGTGCTGGTCGCTCGAGCCCGGTCGGCGCCCGAGTGCCCGCGCCGCGGCGGCCCGTCTTGAGGAGTCTGCGACGTTCCAGTAGTGGCTCCACCGCTCTCTGGTCCTTGTGTTTGCTATAAAGGTAAGTGAACTGCGCTCGGCCCTCATGTCTGAATATGTCCTGTATTTCGCTTCAATGTAATGGTACCACGGATTGTACGGTATCATGTAGTCCTAAATATACGAGGGTCGAAGCATATCGATGGCGCACTGGCGCAATGCGCGCATGTATGAAAGAAGATCCTGCACTCGCGACTCCGTAGTGGGCCTATCGTTGTATCGCAAGCGTGCCCTAGCGCAGCACCGTCTCAGGCTTATCTTTGAGCACATGTCTTTCCACGTCGCCAGACAGCCTGCAGCGTCCGGTCGCAGAGCAGGATCGTCGTTTGTCATCAACAGCGCCCAGCTGTACGAGAACTCGAGCCCGGACCATTCCTATCGCCCAGCCAAATTGTAAGCGCGCAGGGTCGTTCTCCGGGAAATTGGTCACATACACAGCAGAATTCCCGTCGTATTACCCTCCCGAGCAACCATACATCCGCCTTGAACGGGTCGTACGGCCTGCCTCTGAACTCAACTTCGGGAATGTCTGAATCCCAGCCGAACCAGCAAGGAGCAATTTTGGGGGACACCTCCACTGGTATGTACAGTGACTGCTCGTAATCGAAGAAGTAATATCGACATGGTGCTTGTGATCTTTTCAAGATGGGCGCAGGACCACTAAGATCCGGTAGCATGTCCAGTTGGGCGGGATGAAAACCTTGCGGATAGAGCGCGGCAGCGTCGATGACAATGTTCTCCCTGGCGCAATCGCTGCATACGCACATTATCAACATGGTATCAGTGAGGCGTCAAGAAGCAAAGGTCTGAAGGGCTCACCGGTGAGCGATACCTTGTTCATGAAGAAACACCAGTCCCTGCAGTTTACATTAGACGATAACGCTACGAGACAAAACGTACTGCATACGTTCAGCAAGGCATCTATACAGTCTAAGATTTCCTGGAATGTTTGGAAAGGCGGGTCGTCGAAACGTCTGAAGAACGGCGTGACGATATACGAAATCTGGTCGTCGTAGATGTCGACGAAGTGGTCCAGCATCGGCACGCAAGGGTTCCGCGGATCTGCGCGCAGTTCAGGCGTCGAAAGCCGCAAGATCGTCTTGAACTCTTCGGCTTTTGTTGATCCCGCTTTGATCATCACCAGCTTCCCGTCCGAGATGCGAGTGGCGTCCATGATGTTCGTCCGCACCTGGACGCCGCCGCGCTCTGTCAGTCTGTCGCGCAGCCAAAGTCTTGAGCACTCACGGGACGCTTTACCGAATAGTGTTCATAGAGCGGTGGGTCGATGGGAGTCGTTTTGACGCGCCCCTCCTTTGCCCCTTGGTCGCAATACCGAGGGCGTAGCATGTACCCGCGGTCCTCGAGCATCCCCCGCCGATCCCGCCAGTAAAGTTCGTAGCTATCCAGCGGTGCTGGCTCTTCATGGCTTGGTGCAGATTGCTCGGCGTTGGAGTGCAGGTCTGTGTTCATTATGTGAGTACAAGTGAAAAGAGCTGTGCGGGGGCGGTCGCCAGGCCTAAGTCCCAGGACAGTACTTGCCTCTCCAGGAGCCTGGCGCTTTGAGAACACGAGTTCGCCCCGGCTACCCCGGCTATCTCCGGCACAAAGAGAACAATAGTGCTTTGTCTGGATAGAGTGCGTATTTTCGGCACAAGCGACATGGTTTCGCGGGAACATGGCACAAAACGTAGGCAGGCTGCACAGGACTCGGATTGGAGGACGGTGTCCTACCATGCGGCCCCGCGATGATGTAAGACCGGTCGTCTTCCCTGCCCCAGGGAAGGCAAGTGCCATTTGGTTCAAGTATCATATGAGGGAGAAACAAGCCCGACTTACGACTGATTTAGAGAACCTTCTTTCCAACCCGTTATCGCTCGCTCCTCCCCAAGCCCACTACAGTTCGAAACAACACACAATGCCAGTAGACGATCAGAGAAGCTGCAGGCGGTAGAGGTCGTCGTGCTATACGATAAAGTCGGAGGGAAGAAAACGCCAAACGGGCCTGATGCCTGGAATTTGGGAAACCAGGCGCCGCCGAAATTACCATAGAAGGCTACAGTATGCGCTTACATAACATATTCGCAGCGGCTTTGCTAGGGGACATGGACATGGCACAAGCGCGCTCAGCTAACACGAGTCGCTTCATATTTGCAGGAGTCGCGTATATATGTAGCTCTTGTCTTGCATATCGTCTAATCTGCCTCTGTTCTCCACTTCCCCGACGCGAGTCGCTTAGCAAGCGAGTGCTAAGTGCTTCTGCACAAGCTCGGCACAGCGGACGTTGTTGGTGCAGGCACTCTCGAGAAGCATATGCAAAGCCATCGATCATCCATTGAAGCTTAAGCCTGAGGCAATACGCTTCAGAGAAAGATCCCGATGTTTGTAGAAATACATAAGCAAGCACTGGCACTGGGAGATACACAAAAATTTATCAGAGTTGCGTTGACCGACCGTTGAGATGCATCGCTCCGAGATTCAGACTACCTCACGCAGATCTCTCTCCTACAGCGTTCTGGATTGTCAGGAAAAGTAACTATAGATATGTGGGTGTATAGTTTTTCTTATAGTCCCGACAGTTATCTGTATACCTGACTAGGTCTTTTCGCGTCACCTGCATTGATCGGGATTCATATTCAGTGTTTGGGCACTCGTTACTTCCGTGCGAAACCTCGCCTTGTCCCTGGCACGCTCCCCTCGACTCTTTCATGCCTTGGTGGATACGTGAGTGCACCGAATAATCCGACAAGTCTATTCTTGCATGCTGCGGAACAGCTGGCGCCGAGGTATCAGCGACTCTTGAAGCCAGCTACACATGCAAGGCGACGCAACGCGCAGTTCTCGCCCCCGAGCGAGGTGCGCGACGAAAGAACGTTTAAGGATCGTCAGCTGAAGAAGTATATCGCCCGAAACAGCGACAAGTGTGCGCATATTTCAGAGATGTGGGGCCGGAGGACATCGTCGTGGTCGGCAGCGGGTTGGGTCAAGACTGGAGCAGACTGTGCGGTGGTCGCCTTCGGCACCACGAACACGTCCTCCAGTGCCACAGCAGAAGGCCATATCGGGGTATTGCAGGGGCTGGGGTGGATGGGTCGCATTCAAGGACTGTGACGGGTCCGGAGATGGAACGGCAGGGGGCCAGAACTCCATATTTGGCAGAAGCATCCAGCCCCTCTTCCGCTGAAGCGAGGCGAGATTCCCGACGTTGGGCACACCGTTGTTCGTACCGTCACAGATCTCTTGGAGATACAAACACTGACTGCTACTTAGGGTGGCGACCGTCTTGTCGATTCCACAAGCTTTCCTCATCGAATGCAACTTCCAGTCGAGATCGATGGCACGCGTGAGTACCCCACCTGCTGTCAGATGAGGCCTGAGGTCTCTAACGTTTGCGCATGGTTGGATCGCTCTGCATGGAAGACGTGATCCCACATGAGACAGGAGGGTTTTCCCGAGACGCAGCACCCGATGAACCACCGGCGACATTGCGGGGTGATATACATGTAAGAGGGCATCAACTCTTGGTGGAAGAATCAGCCGTCCAGTGTGTGTTCCGTTTTCCTTCGGTAACGTGACTTACTCACCTCTTCGATTGACAGAGCCATCCAAGTGCCCGAAGAGTTGTTACGTGCCCAGGTTCCGATTCCATTGGAGCTAGACAGTGCGTTGAACCTTCCCATTCGCTATCTGCTCAGTTTGCCTATCCTGGACATCTCTAGTCGCATTCACCGAACCGATCTCCTCCGAATTGAACCTCGCCCTTCGTATCTATCATGCCCAGAAGTTCTTGATCCCGTACGACCCGATCAAGTCGGACAATCCATTGTGGCGACACACCATGTAAGATTTGCGCGTCTGCCAGTTCTCGTTTCCGGCACATTCCTAAGCTCCATCCCTACTGCAGAGTGCTCGAGGCGCACATGCTGCGACTACTCGATATCGAGATTTACAAGCATGTTGATTATCCGGCCTTTGATCCAGTTTCCTCTGCCGGAGCTATCGCACACGTTCAGTTGAGCCTCCCCAAGCTTTTGTCTGGTACGTCCATGGTCCTTCACACGACTATATGTCTCGCCACTGACACCTCTGGCAGAGGGTGTTGTCGAGCTCAATGTCTCTGGCTGCTCTGACGTCAACATCGATCTACCCAATCTGAGAGTTACTCACAAGGTCCCGAAGACCGTATCAGTCCCTCGCATACTCCCACAGGCTCCAGCGGTGCTCGAGGACAAATTCCCGACACTGACAAACCTTCGTCGTGCCATCAACGCTCTGGCCATTCTCCGGACAGGAAGGATTGAGCTGATCCGCCTCACCCCGGTGGGTGTAGCGCAACATTCCTATCCCCACCCCTCACATTGAAACGTCATCTGTCAGGAAACCCTCTGGGTCTTCTTGGTATCCTTATGGAACTATCTGCGAGTGCAGCTGCCTCGTCTCGTCGATGCGAACCGCAAGAACCAAGGGGAGACCAGGGTCCATCCACAGCTGCTGCAGAACAATGCACCCGAAGATCTCCTCGCTCACGTGCGCGACACTCTGGAGTATCTCTGCTCGATCAGCGCAGAACCTCTGTCCACCGAGAGCGCGAAAAGCATGGTAGCCCGCCTGACAGGCAACATCTTGCGTTGCGTCCTCAAGGCGACCGCTCTAATCTGGAGCTGGGCCCACTCGTACATTAGCGAGTCGTCCTCCGTTTGCTCAAATTTGCCTGGCTAACATGGCCTTGTAGCGGCCTCGTACGCGACGGTGACAAGGGCAATGGATCCCGCATTGGAGACCTTCGAGTCCGTGCAGACAGAGCTCTTCCAGCACAGGATTCACCTCATCAAGTCTCTCGAGGCCAACACTGAGGAGCCACTCTTGTTCAGCCCAGACGCACTGGAATTTGTCTTTAGCAAGGCGTACGCCGAGGTCTTGCAGGGCAATGCGTTGGCCCACCGGCCGTACGTGATCCTGATGTCCGCGCTCCGCGGCAACCTCGCGCAGGACGCGTATACGCGCGTGCTCAAGGTATTGACACGCGCCATGCCCTGTTGATACGTGCCCTTGGCTGACCTGGACGCAGGAGCTGGACAAGCATACTGACGAGGGCGCGACGGAGCAGCGTGACGCGCTGCGCCGGCTCATCATCCGCATCGCCCAAGGCTCCAGTGCCTTCCCGGCCGTCTTGGACATCCCCTCCAACGAGTGCACGAAGGACTTCGAGAACGCGCGCACGCCGCCGGCGCCGGTGGGTAACGGCAGCTACGGACAGATTTACCGGGGGTCCTATCACAAGCGCAATGAAGCGAAGAAGACGGTGGCCATTAAGATTCTCAGAGGCAAAGGGGACATCCGTCTACTTAGACAGGTCCGTGGCTCCGGTCCTCTGCCGCTTCGTGCATGGGACAGCTGACTGTCCCGGACTCCTAGCGCATGGTTCTCGAGTTAAGCTGCTGGCTACTCGCCCACGAGCGCGTCATTCATCTATATGGCGTCACGAACAAGTACGCGGCCCCGGGCCTGGTCTTCGACTGGGCCGAGAATGGGAACGGCATGGACTATATCAGAGAGCTGCTCGAGCACCCTCGGAAGGTCCAAGTCCCGATCGTTTCTCTCAGCAATCAATGGGTAAACGTTGGGCGTCCAGTCACGGAGCACCGGCGTGCTGACAGCTCTCAACAGATCCGCAACGTTGCCGACGGCCTCAAGTTTATCCACGACGAAGGGGTCGTCCACGGCGACCTCAAGGCGGTACGCCGAGCTCATGCTCTCGCATTTGCGCTATCTTTGCTGAGCAAGTCTGCAGGCAAACGTTCTCATTCATGCGGACAACCGTGCGGTGCTCGCTGACTTTGGGCTCTCACGCTTCGCGCGAGGTCATCCGAGTGACTATGATCCTGCGCGCCTAGGCAGCCTGCGATGGTGCGCGCCGGAGCTGCAGAACGAGGGCCAGGCGCGCGCGACGTTCGAGAGCGACATGTTCGCGTTCGGGATGCTCTGCCTCGAGGTGTGCCTGCTGCCTGCACCACTTCTCCACGCTGCACGAGACTGATGCCACCGACACACCCAGCTGTACACTGGCAAGATCCCATACTTCAAGCTTGCAACTGACACGCAGGTTGTGGCACTCATCACGCAGGGCGTCCCGCCTGTTGACGTGCCGCCGCCGTGCCCTGCGGACCCCAACCGCACACCAATGGCGCAAGGCTTGTGGCATCTCATGTGTGAGTGCTGGTCGCTTGAGCCTGGTCGGCGCCCTCGTGCCTATGCTGTGGCAAGTCGTCTGGATGAGCCTGTGACATTCCAGTAGTGTTGTATTGCGCTCTGGTCCTTGCATTGGCTGTATAGGCAAGTGAACTTTGCTCAGTCTTGATGTCTGAATGTGTCTTGTATTTTGATTCAATTCAGTGGTACAGTTGGAGTGCTGCTAAAATAGTGAATATGTCATGTTTGATACTCTGTGCAAATACATAAGGGCTTGGTGTGGTGAATAATAAGTGAAGTGAGTGATGAGCATGCTGTGAGGGAATTCAAAAGTGAAGATGGCTGGAGAGGTTTTCTCATGGTTGGCAGCTATCAGCATATCAATGATGCACCAATGGTGGGAGTGGTGATGGCAGGTCATTCTGCCCTCCAAACATTGGCCATTATTGGTGATGCATCTTGTGTGAAATAATTCACCCTGATACACTTTGGATGCTCTACGATGCTCTGGACCCAGTCACATGATGATGATGTCATTACTACATCATAGGTCTAGACACTAACTCTAGACTTCTTATCTGTGCCCGTCCTGTGGCATTTCCTTTTACAGTATGCCTGTGTCTGGACTAATGTCAGGTGTGTTATGCTTGTTCACCAATTTTGCCAAGAGCTGGCCAATCACAATGCAAGTGCATAGTGTTCCATTACTCTGCAGTTCTGTGTTTCCAAGGAGCCACACTACATGGTGCCTGGAGTCCCAGCTGCAAAGTATATAAGACTTCTGGAATGCACTGAAGAGTGTTATCACAAAAGTCACCTGTATTTCATCAAAGTAAGGCCCTTTGCTTTCCAGACTCCAACTTCAGCACTACTCCACTCAGTCTCGCTTCGCTCTTCCCACCCTAAACCTCCCTAATGTTTTCTAGGCTGTTTTATGTCATGGGTTATGAGCACTGGTAGGGGTTGGTAGGGGCTGTTTCGAGCGCTGACCTCTGCCCTTGATGCTGGCTCCTACCGCTTGGCACTTGCTTCTACCACTTGATGCTTGCTTCCGATGCAGTGCATGGCTGCCAGTGGCAACTGCATGTGTGCAGAGAGGCAGCCAAGTACAGCAGAGTAGCTGTGGTCAGCATGCTTCAGACAGTGACTGCCAGTGGCGACTGCATATTTAGTGGGGAAGCAGCAGAGTAGTTGTGGTCAAATCTTGCCAGTGATATGCAGATGCCAGTGGCAACCGCATGTTTGCAGGGAGACATTAAAGTACCTTTGGTCATAACCTTGCACGTTGGTTAAGGTGTCCAGTGGTGAACATATATCTGTGAAATTAGTTGAGCAACATTAGCCAATCTTACGCTCTATATGCCTGCCAATGGCGATGACATATGTGTTTTGTTGTTGTTTGTGAGAAAACAGCAGAAACTTAGGGTTTAGAGTTGGAGGGAGCCGAGCCAAGCGAAGTGAGATGAGGTGACGTTGCTGAGGGTGAGACTAGAATGTGAAGGTCTGAATACTGAAGAGTATTCCGGAGGCTTTCATAGTGACACTCATCAGCACATTTCAGGAAGTACTTATACCTTGTGCCATGGGACCCTGGGGAGGGGCAGTACCATGGACACCGCTTGCCGAAGCCGAAGCCGTTGGACGGGTGGGTAATGGGCATTATGACTATCCGCATTGTGATTGGCCAGCCCTCGGCAAAATCAGCAGATGGAGTCATTCTAACCTAGTATATATTACAGGCCCATGCAGGTCTGTGATCCTGCCTAAGCTTCAGATTGTCTGAGCCCATGATGAAGGATGCCTGGGAAAAGTAAACGTTGGTGACGCTAGTGGCACATTTGCGCTGCGGGTCACAGTTGCCCACTCGTTGCACTTCTAGTCTGGCGGTAGATGTACAAGATAGAGAATTTGGCTGGCTGGAGAGCCTCGAAGCCCAGGTGTCCGCTTGATTTGTCGAGCGGACCGAATACAGACTTAACTTGCGACACATTCAGTGCTGTGAAATAGATTGAGTGCGAAGCAGTAATGTTCATAGATAGAGAGAGCACATACATCTAAACGCAGCCCTAGCATGATCACTCTGAAAGGACTTCCATGTGTTCCACATTGTCTGCGCCATGCAGGATTGTCAAGCACATTTGGACTATGTTGTCATCGCCACCTTTCTTGGCTTGCATCTTTGCAATTGATTTGCAGGGCTTCATCAGCCTTGCAATCTCAATATGAAACCAAAGCTGCTTTGCGAGCCAAATAGATGTATGAGGTTCTGTGTCGCTTCTAAAGATCCACCACAAAGGTCCAGAGCCATCTTTCGTGGTTTCACTCTTCAACATGACGATGACACACTCAGCATTGTGCAAGATCCTGCCGTTCTCGAGCTTCAGCTTGCTCTTCTTTGTTCCTTGTACGCTACCTGATACTGCTCGTATACCTTCCGGAACGGGTCGAAGCTCGAAACCTGGCGCAGTGAATCCCCCTGAGATGTGTTGCTGTAATGATAGCAACAATATCTTTTTTTGTTGCGCATGCATTGCGAGCCTTACCAATGACAGCTACTCGATGGACCATATGTGAGCAGGCTATCATGAGGTTTGACGTGCAGCATCCAGAGGTGATTCTGCAAACTCTCAGACAGTAGTTCATTGAAAGTGAGTACATGTACATGTACATGCACCTGAGCCCTAACCTCACAGCATACTTCTGACCGGCAATCTCTACCACTTGAGATTAGTGCCTCCAAACCATGAGTTTGGCTGCCTGCCGAACAAGTGTCGCAGGCATGACAGGATCCTGTTCTGATGGTGTGGACAAGTGATGGGCCGTCAGCTGGTCTAAAGAGGGTGTGAGTGGTATTGGAGATAAGTGGGGACCAGTCGGGGTGTTGTCATCTTCTCACTGGCTGAACATTGACAGACCACGATGGATGGAAATGGTTGATTGCTGTCTTTGTGGAGCAGGGAAGGAATGAATGTGTGACCAGAAAGGCCATGTGATGATGTCATCGCTGTTACAGCCACAGGCTTGGGTGCAGCATTCATTGCAGAGAAGCAGGTATTATACAGGGCATTACAAGCGCGCGCACTGATCAGTGGCCCAGCTTATACCTTGTGTCACTTGGGTCCACATCGAAGAAGGACATATGGTGGTAGCAAGAGAGCTGAGAGTTTGAAGTTTTCACCTGTCGACAGCGATGCCCATCATCGTGGCGCATTTACGCCGCCGTACAGCGGTCAGGTTGGTATGTGCGAGATCCCTACAGAAGTCATCATCATTCCTTTGAACAAGGCAATGTAGACACTAAAGTATGAGCATCACGGCTTTGTTGACAGCTATGACAAGTAAACATAATAGCTATTTAGTTGTCTACCACTGCAAAATCTAGAACCCAGGCCGACTAATATGCCACTCCCCCCCTTTCCTCTGTCAAACAACCCTCCACCGCTGCTGTGAAATTTTGTACATGGCCTGTTTTATTGCACTGCCAGCATCTGCTAGTACCCTTGCTTCAGGGAATGTGTCTGTGAGAATTTGTGCAACAGGCTCTACCACTGATGGAGCGATATGTGAGTTGTAAAGATAGAGTTGACAAAGGAAGGAGATTGGCTGGCCATGGTGGGCAGTGTACGTCTAGCCCACAGGGGACATGATTCCCACAAATAGAGACTCGACTCGCCGGCAGTGCTCTGCAAAGAGGGTGAGGTCCTCAACCCACAGCAGAAAGCATGATGGTTGGAGGGCTGTATTCAGGGTCACGTCAAGCTCTCTCAGATCTGGCCAAGCCCTGGCCAGCTTCTCAACATTGTTGCTGTTGAACGTGATGGACAGATACTTGAGCTCGACAGAGAGCAATGTGTGTAGGTTGGTGAGAGACAGGAGCACACTGCTGGGAAAGTGCATGTTGTGGCGCCACTTGAGCTTCCTGGAACCGAACTGAAGCCAGAGACGTCTAAGGCCAATGTATTGTGCACATGCAGAGAAAAATTTGCCGATGACCTCTGCACGCGAGCAGCAAACAAAGGAGACATTGATGATTGTCAAACCATCACCATTTGAAATTGTGCACAGAAGGCCTAAGAGGCGAGAGAATGCAGCGGATGCCACCGGCATGACCGATAGGTGTCTGAGCACTGAAAACTGGCCCCATTCGGCATGCGTCCAGGGCGCTGTACCACGGTTTGAGATGGTAATGCTGAGGGCGGAGAGATGAGGGTAGTGAGACAGGGAAGTGAACTTGTTGTCGGATAGCTCAGACTCGTGAAAGAAAAGGGTTTAGGGTGGGAGGAGCGCGAGACCGAGCGAAGCGAGGTCGAGCGACGTGTTGTTAGTGTCAGGTAGGTCGGAGGTCCTCGCAGTGGTGAACTGCACAGGAGACTTTCGTTGACACTCATCAGCGTCCTACCGGAAGTACTTATACCTTGCTGGCTGGACCCCGGTTACCGGGACACCAGCCACCCGCTGACGTGGCCCCGGAGGGACTTAGGGTTGGGGGGAGCCGAGCCGAGCGAAGCGAGGCGAGGTGACGTTGCTGAGGTGAGACTGGAAGGCGAAGGTCCGAGTTCTGTGAGGAACTCCGGAGGCTTTCGTGGTGACACTCATCAGCGCATTCCAGGAAGTACTTATACCTTGCGCCATGGGACCCCGGGGAGGGGCAGTACCATGGACACCGCGTGCCGAAGCCGAAGCCGTCGGACGGGTGCGTAATGGGCATTATGACTAGTCGCTCTGTGATTGGCCGGCTCTCGGCGAAATCGGCGGACTGTGTCATTCTAACCTTGTAAGAGGCTCGGGCATACTATATGGGGATGGTCAGCAGGACCACTTTGATGCGACTTAAAGACCGGTTAAGCG